TGTGTGTGTGTGTTTCTGTGTGTGTGTCTGTGTGTGTGTCTGTGTGTGTGTGTCTGTGTCTGTGTGTGTGCTGGGGAGGACCCCAGCAGTGTGCATTGTAATAGGGCAGCATCCTCCTTGCCTCAGAGCCTGTGGCGGAGCAGATGTATTTACAGGCCCTTCCCCTCTTCTCACCCAGGACRGCCACGTGGTTTGAGTCAGGGCTTCGACCTGATGAGCCTGGACAGGTCAGGTACCCCTCAGAGGCCTGTCAGTGACATGGGGCTGGTGCCGTGGACACCAGTCAGCCTAGGCAGCACTGTGAGGTGCAGCAGCCGGGGGAAGCTGGCCATGGCAGCCTGGCCTCCTCCTACCTCCTCCCKGTCTCTGGGTCCCAGGCCCCTGCCTGCGTACCCCAGGGGGGCCAGGCCCTGCAGCAGACCTCTGCACACCCCTCCTGCTCTCCAGGCTGTGGGGAGTGGCTTGCTCCCTGGTGCTGTTCTAGCGGTGAGTTATTGGGGTGCTACAGGGAAACACRCAGGATTCCCCCTGGACTGGGACTGGACCCAGGGTGCTCTGTCACTGAGTGTTCTATATGCAGACAGGGTCCCCTAGTTGCCGCGGCTGGCCTTGAACTTGTGCTACTGCTGGGACTTCAGGGTGTGCGCCACACTGGCTCTCTGTAGGTGTCAATGTTTGTCTTTATCTTTACATCCCTTCAGTTAACGATGACCAGGTGTCTCCTTGGCAGATTAATGCTTATGAGCCAATATGGAATTTGGGGACTTAGAATTTCCTGAAGAAAACCTGTCTGGAAAAACACAAGGATTGGGGAGCTCTTGAGGAGCCGATGCAAAGGCCTGTGGACAGAGGCAGTGAACCGGACACTCACGGGCTGAATGGGGCCAGCAGCTGTGTCTCTTTGAGTCACACAGTTTTCCAAGATTTGAATTGGCTTCAACATGTCATGATTGGGAAAATTCACATAACAACGTGAACTTTTGGTTTCTGTTAAAAAAAATAGAGAATTTGATGTTGGCAAAGACCCAGTCTCAGTTGCCTACATCTCCACATGTAGAGTGTGTGCTGGACATGAGAAGTCCTGTCCATCTGAGAGGCAAAGGACCCTCCCGCTCACCCGGTCCCTGCCGCTCCCTAACACTGCCCTGACCTCTGGGAGCATCTGAGTTCATGACTCTTGACTCTATATTGAATAACTGGTTTTTTCCATCTACCAAGTTTAAGTGACTCCTTCTCTGATTGTTGCTAAAATCATCAAAAAATGGTCACAATCTCAAATAGGATTTTTTAAAATCAGAAGAAACCTTAGTATCACACATAAATCTTAGTCTTATTTATTATCATTTAAAACTTTGATTTTTGGGGAAATATGGAAGATTTTTCACAAGTACCCAAGGGAAAAAATTGTCCCCAAGGGAAAAAATTGTAAGAGTGAAACTCAAAATTTTATTCGGTGACTCTTCTCCGTTTTGGTAAAATAGGAACAGGGCTGAAGCCCTGTGAGGCAGGGGCCGAGGAGGCCCAGGGCTGGGCTGGAGTCTGGCTTCCGCTCTGACTCTGGCTGGGTGAGCTCTCAACCCTGGTCCTTTAGTGACCTGTGGGAATAAAATCCACTGAATGAGTTAGTTTCTGGGTCCGTGTCAATAACCCAAACGCCCCCGGGAAGTGATGCCTGGTAAGAGTCTGCACAGGGCTGTGCCGTGGCACCTGCTGGGAAGTCCTTCTGCAGTCCCCTGGGCCCGCAGGTCTGTCTGAGAGTGCCTCCGCCTGGTTGTGCGTTGCTGTGGCATTGTCTTCTTCAAAGTCGAAGGGGCCACAGCTCTGAGTCTGATATTTACCTTCTAATTCTGTTTCTCCCCTCTTCTCTTGCAGCTATATCCATATAGTTCCCAGAAAGCCCTCCAAGATGAGGAAGTTGAAGGAAGTAAGTGTGCACGGCCGAGGGGGAGGAGATGGGCCAGATCGTGGGGTGACTATCTAAACTGATAGAACTCGGGTCCCGACTTCCTGGGGCTGAACCTCAGGGTTTGGCAGGAAGTGCCCCTGGAGCGCGGGAAGGCCCCGGGTGAGCTTGTCAGGTTGTCGAAGCGCGGTGCCCCAGTGACGGGAGTCGTAAAAGTGCCCTGGAGCCACACCAAGGGAGATGGGCATCTTTGAGGCACACTGTGAAGTTACTTGTTAAAACCTCTCCTTTTCCTTTTGTTTTGGGGATTTGGGAAGTGGATGTCAGGGAGAGCTATTTAAAGTCATGCAGGTTGATGCTCACGATGATGCTGGCTCTGCCCATGATCGGCCTCTGAGAGGTGTGTGTGTGGGAGGGGTGCCTGTCATTCCACCCGTGACACTTGATTCCTAACAAAAACAGCACAGCCACTCATTCACTAGAATCCCACCTTTTCTGTAGCATAACCCAACAGTTTTGAGTAATGGAGCCTATTGATATTTAGAATTTATCAAGATTTCTACTTTTTCAAACAAAGACTCAGCTCTGTGSAGAGTCACCAGGTGGGTGCTGAGGTGCCCCCTCTTCTACAGCACCCTCCGTTTTGCTCTTCGGTGGAGGTGATGGTCTGTACCAGAGGACTGGGGCGGGACTCAGTGACGCGCTGTGTGGCGCTGTCAGCAGGAGGAGCTGTCAGCTGTCCTCCTCCACGTCCTGAGCCTCTCGACTGCCCGTGTCCTTGTGCACCTCCACATCCCAGGAACGTTGGGGTAGCTCCAGAGTGGCTCCCAGGCACCCCCGACAGACCCACAGCTCTCAGGGCAGTGAAAGGAAGTCAAATTCAGTGTGTCCCCAACTTCAGTTGTGAGCGTCCAGGAGGGCAGGTTYCCCCTGACCATCTGGCCGTCCCTGTGGGTCAGGGCTGGCGGATGGAGCGAGTGGCGCCTGTTCTTCTTGGTATCTGTCGGGGCTGTTTGCTGTGTAGACCCTTGACTTGGAGGGAGGGTAGTATTTTGAGGAACACACATCAGTGGTGTGGACATCACCAAGTGAGTTGGTCCTCCACCGAGAGCTTTGTTCACAGAATTTACTCCAAACAATCTGCTGTGTGCAGGAGGGAGCCACAGGGGTGGCCTGGGGTGAAGACCAGTTTTGCCCCCCAGGAGGACATGTCAGGACAGGAGCTGCCCAGCTGTCAGTCACCCTCACGGGTGCAGTTAGATATCTCTTATCCGAAACGCTCACAGAAGCCTGCACTTGGCCTGCACCGTGTTTTGTGGGGGGCACCCAGGACCCCAAGGAAACACAACACTCCACAAACCAGAAGTCTTGCCTCTGGCTGATCATTTCCACTGTCCCCGTGTGAATTCGTAGGGTCAGGGTGCTCTGCTGTCAGGTGCTGTACTCGAAAGCCTGGAAGGTCTCCGTGAGTCCTCTGTGCACTGATTTCATGGATGGCCACACTCCCTTAGCAGCAGGTGCTGTGTCCCCATGTCCCATTAGCACTGGAGGGAGAGCCATCAGTCCTTGGGGCACATCATGGTCATGTTCGATGCCCTCATCTCTCCGCTGTTCAAACGTGGAATGTGTATGGCTTACGTTCTTAGCACATTTTCACATCTACCATCTCAGCTGGGAAAATGGAAAAAAAGCCATAGTGAGGTAGAGAGGTCTTAATATCTGCTGGTCAGAACATGAATAGAGAGTTCAGGAAAGGTCAGTGCTGTGTCCAAGGTCAGGGAGCTAGAGGAATAGAGCTTGGACTGACACCAAGTGCTTTAGAGATGATTCCCAGATTCTCCCCTCCCTTTCCCAGGGACAGACCCATCGCCACTGCTGTAGAACCCCTCAGTGTGAAATGAGTCTCCTGTGCTCCATGCACGGGATTAAGTGACTGAATTCTCTCTGATAGACATTAAGCCTTTACAGAGAGAAGCCCTGTGAACAGTGGAGGGAACGCCACACTGCGTCTTGGTCTGTACCTGTCAAGAGGTCAAGTGTGAAGAACAGAAGTCACCTGGTCAGGTTCTGGAGGCTGGGAAACCTGAGAGCGTGACACAGCACCTGGCGAGGCCTTGCTGTGTTGAAACGCTGTGGAGGGCGTCACGTGGCAAGGCCGTGTGCTAGCGTGGGTTTCTCTTCACCTACTGATAAAGCCACTGATGCCACCGTGGGGGTCACCTCATGACTTTGTTAATTCTGATCATCTCCTGAAGACCTCACCTCCAAGTACCGTCAAGCTGTGCATTTGGGAATTGCATTTCCAAMCCATGAACTTTGGAGGGACACATTCCAGCCACAGCATGCAGTTTGGGCCGCCGTGGAGCAGAGGGTCTGCAGGGGGACTTGTGGCTCTCCACGACCTGTGCTGAGCTGGGGAGCTGGGCCTGGGGGTGGACACCAAGAGGAAGTCCTGTCCTGCTGCCGCTGTGCCTCCTTCCAGGGCTGATGGAGAGGAGCTTTGCAAGGGCCAGGAAGCTGGGTGGCTTGGGACTGAAAGCTCCTGGAGGCCTTGATGGAAGTGAGGCCGAGGGCAGCCCTTCCTGCTCCTGTCCCAGGTGGACAGCCCAGGGTGCACTCCAGGCCGGGCCCAAGGCTGTGCATAGCTGTATCTGTCTATCACCTAATCCTTTCTCTCTCTGTCTCTTTCTATTATCTATCTCTCTATAATTTCTCTATCTTTACACACACATCTGTACATACGTGTGTACATACATGTGTGTGTATGTGTGTAAAACATACTTTATGTGTTAACTACATATGTGTCTCTCTGTATATCTATAAAACCCTGGGAGCAACATGGATACCACCCAGAGCAGGGTGGTTGAATGTCATGGGTATGTTGTATCATGGTTAAATCTGCAGATGGTTGTCAGGTTAAATGAAGTTGTCCCCGAGCAGCGCCTAGCATGGTGGGGGCACTCAGCTGGAGCTCAGTAATTAGTAGACACAAGTCTTGTGCAAATGCCTTTCAGTGGTGGTAGCTCACCTGGGCCAAGTTTGAGATCTGCGAATGCCTGCTGATTTGAATGCCATGTGAACTGTTTCCAATTAAAGGTAGTACAAGGTAAGCTTTTGCAGTGTCCCCAAGTCCAGGGTTTCACTGAGGTACTTTGTCTCATTTTGTGATACAGTGAGACAGAGGAGAAGTGCCAAACTTCCAAAAATTATTCTTTCAAGAAATTTGCTTTGGTCAAATCTATTGATGGGAAACTTGAAGAAGAAGCTTCCCTCCCAAGAGAACATGATGAGAATCAGGACGTCAGTTGGAATACTATAATATGGTGTCTCGACCCCTCGCCGGCAAGGGAAAA